ACGCGTGTTTCGTGTAATTTCTTTAGCCATCCACGATCCTTTAACGGAGAACACATTTGAGAACACATTGGAGTCCACTAAAATACATCGCGTTCCAGACCCATAAACATTGATAAATTTATTTATTTATTTTATATAATATATATTTATCTTATTTAAAAAATGGTACCGGTACATACGTACGTACGTACACACGTACGTACGTACACACATTCGGATGTACGTACTACAGTTACATAATGACCATTATCATAAAGTTTTCTCAGTATTTATTTTTAAACATTTATATTTATATGTAACAAGTCATTTACGATGGGACACAAAGATTACAATGTATAATCGTTGCATGGATTAACATTATTAAGGGATACATGTGCACTTTGTACCTTAAAAAGAAAGAACGAATCAAATCTAAATATAAAAGTAGAATAAAGGTAGTTTTTTTTTTTTTTTAGTATTTTAAATAATTGTGATTTTCGAATGTTGTACATTGTTTAAATCATGTGTACGAAACACAAAATTTTTTCATATCTTCACATATCCACATATCTTTAAGACCCCTATCACCCTAAGAAACTTTCGCACCAGCGTTAGGATTAGGGTTTGATGTTACACTTGGATGTTAATTTTATGTTACACTTGGATTTTAATTCGGTCCGATAGCGAGGGGGGGGTGATGTTAGAGTGGTTCATATCTTCAAATATCTGAAGATATCTGAAGATATCTGAAGATATCTTCAGATAACTCAATACGCAAAAAATTTAATTATTAAATTATGATGAAAGCGGAGAAAAACTTATACGTATGTACTAAAATTCGATCTATTCCAAAAGCATACTCATTCTTTTTTTTAATTTACTATAATTCATTCATTTATTTCAAAAAAAAATGTCGTCATAAAAAACCACGGAAAATTTGTAGCCAGTTTTCTCTTAGCGTTAGACCAAACATCATTTACCTAATACCTAAAAAAACCCCTGACTATCTTTTTTTTTTTTTTTATAAAGTTTTATCTTTTTTATATGAAGGAACCATTTACATGTATCGATATTTTGTTACAAGGATCTGGATTATCAAATTCTGTAACAGACTAACGTTATGTAAGGAAGCTCATGTGACCAATTTACGATAGATGATAGGTTGTACGTCTTGAAAAACCTGAAAAACCGTAGTATTAACTTGAAAAAAAAAAGATCCACCACTAAACCACCAGGGAATGTTTTTAAACAACCGATTAGTTGCATTTTACACAAAACGTTTAAAATGAGTTAAAAATAATACTAATAATTAATTGGTTAAAAGGTATCTTAAATATAATTAAACAGAATATTTAGTATATAAGAATATATAAGAGTATATAAGAGTATAGAGACTAGTTAAATGAGGTCGAAAAATCGAAATTAAATCATGAGGAGTAAATAATCTTTGGAAAGATTTTGTGGTCCTATTATATGGAAATATATGGAAATATATGGAAATATATGGAAATATATGGAAATATATGGAAATTAAACGAAATTAATTGCTTGCTTGCAGTTTTACCAACCATCCATGTAAACATGAGATAGTCAAGGAAACTAGGATAAAAATAAAAAAATAATTTATGAAACGATAAACCATATGCGCGTGGTTAAGATTGACATGTTTCAAAAGAAATGCATAAATGTATAAATGGTAAAAATATCTTACATGTTGATGTTGGATACATTTTAAGTGCATGTTCGATATATGTTATATGTACGTACGTACGTACGTACTGTACGTACGTTCATTATGTCGATTAAATAAAGACGACTGCTCAACGACTGCTAAATCGTACAAACGGGTTAAACCTTTTGTTTTAGTCCGATCAAAAAAAAAGTATTTGCATGTTATGTCTTTATCCATTTACCACTTACCACTTACCACTTACCACTACTGTAATAGGATTCTTTACGTAGTAATAGATAGATTCACCACTAAGAAATTAATAAATTAAATAGATTCACCACTAATAAAACACTAATAAATCAATAAATTAATAAATTAATAAATTAATAAATTAATAAATTAAATAGATTCACCACTAAGAAATTAATAAATTAAATAGATTCGCCACTAATAGATTAATAGGTTCACCCATAATCCATATGGATTAACACAAAGGTGTTAAGATATTATGATAGGATACACATGCATAATTTTGTTTTAAACCACTAAAATTTGAAATAAGCACATTTTCGGACCGATACAAAGTAAATATAGAACTAGAAAAAAAAAATTTTATTACACAATAAAAATATTTGTAAAACCTGCATCGAGCGATAATGAGAATTTCAATCATACATCATTATTATACATTATATTTTTTTACTCAATAAAACGTGATTAGAAAGTCAATCACATGATTTTACATGAATAGTAGGTAATCATTATCACAGATCAGTTATCAGTTATCGTTATCATTATACGTACAGTACGTACGTACTATAGGCAATCATTAATCATATCAGATATCAGGATATCAGATATCTTATATGATCTTATACGTAGTGATAAACATATACATACGTATTATATGTACGTATTAGTATTAGTATTACTGTAATAGCATTGTATCTAATTTTAAGATTACGCCATACTTCGGCCTTCTCAGTTATTAAAAGCTAACTTTTATCATCAGTGATTTATTATTAACAACCAATTTTTATTGTTATACGTATAGAATAAAGATACGTATACAATTATATAGCATTTATTTAATTAGAGTAAAAAAAATACATAAGTAGGAATGTACTACGCGGACAATCACCTATTCAGTAATGCAAAACTAAAAATAGTGCAAATAGTTTTTTACAATTTTAATTAAAAATGTATCAGTTAAAGATCAACATTGCATAAATTGTAAATTTAGTACCCCCCCCAAGTAACGAGATATTGAAATTTTAAATATGGGTGTTATACGGTGTACAAAGTCACCAGATGCTTTTTTATATGCGTAGGAGATGTTGCGTCAATCATATTAAGTTATTGCACAAATATATTATAATATATTATATTACTCTATAAATTTTAAAATAATACTACTGTTACTACTGTTATTTACTGTACTAATGATAACCATTTTTTTACGAATAGTATAAATATAGCAGCTTTTCGCCAAAACCGCCCTCCTCTCTCTTCTCATTTTGTATCGTTTTTTCCCCTAAAATTTATTAAAATTTATTCGATTTTACCAAATTTTATCAAGATTTATCAACTGTTTTACTTGTTTTATTTCAATTGACCAGCATTATAACTGTTCTGATATCTTTTTTTTATCTATTATTTCGAAAGAATAAAAATCTCGATTTTTAAAAAATTTGAATGTTATATAAAACCTCGTGATCTAGATTTCTACGTAGGTTTGGTGTTTAAAATACATACATATATAATTGTACAAGTTTATAAAAAAAAATATATATATATACACATATATATACATATATATATATAATACATACATATATATATAATACATACCATATCGATATATATATATATAATACGTACATATTATAATAAGTACGTATATATAATTGTTTATGATATACCTGTCAAAAATACCTGTTGTTACCTATACCTATTAATTCGGAAAAAAATGGCTGCTACCTATATTCCATCTTCTCCTTCACACTCTTACACTAGAGAATGTTATTCCTTCTCTAGTGATAGTGAAGATGATTGTCAACAAGATTATAACGACCAAAGTTCAAGTAGAAAATCCGTTCAATTTTCGAGATTTCTCGTCGTTCATGAAACATGGTGCAACGATGAATATGACCGTACTTCAACCGAACCTGCAAGGCTCAGTTTCAAAGAATACTCCGAACTTCTCCAACTAAGATGTGATCTACGACGTGAAATGGATAAAATGATGAAAGCCGCTGCTGCTGCTGAACAATCAACAAATGTCCAACAAAATCAAGAATAATCATAAACAAATAATAAATTCCCGCGCCGTTATATTTTTGGCTTTTTGTGTTTGAAACAAAAGCTTTTTGCAACGATCCGCCTCATTGACTGTAAAGTCCGAAAATCCCTCGGTATGTCACGAGAATTCGAATATTCCTTTTCAGTCGTCTCATTTCACAATCCCATTCTCCAAAAGTATTCGTATTACAGACTTAATAAATCTATGTTAGATTGTAACATATACACACACAAGTAGCTTCATCTTTGTTACCCTATTAATATATATTGTTTTTAATATACTTTTTCCCTTTGTTTCTAATTCATATATATATATTTTCTTCTAATATATATTCTTTTTTCGTTTCTTAATATATATTCATTTTTTCGTTTCTTAATATATATTCATTTGTTATTTTCATTCTTGTAAATTGTTTTTTATTTTACCCTTTGTTATGTGATAAACTGTTATGAGGTTTACAGTTTATTGATGTTAAATAAAATTCTCTTGTGGTATGCTTGATATGCTTGATTTTAAAAAATCTTGAAAATCGGATGATTTTTAATCTAGGCCTTTTTGTGTTTTGTTTCCTTGTTAAAAATAAAAAAAGAATTCACAATAAAAAAAAAGAATTCTCACCGTATGCGTGTCCCGAATTTCTATATTATTGTCCTACAAACATTAATGCATCACCTATTTGGTTATAAGGAACCATGTGTTTATACGTACCAATGCATCTTAATCAACGCGTTGTTCTAGGCGCTGATCCCTCCTTGATTAGAAATAATCTATTCGGTTAAATATAAACAAGAAAATTGTTACGCGTCGGTCATGCATATTAATCATTTCATACATATTTTTTCGATTTAAAACTCCGGTGTGTATAATTCCAAATTCCGGTGTGTATAACTCCAAATTCCGGTGTGTATAACTCCAAATTCTAGTGTGTATAACTCCAAATTCTAGTGTGTATAACTCGTGTGTGTATAACTCGTGTGTGTATAACTCGTGTGTGTATAACTCGTGTGTGTATAACTCGTGTGTGTATAACTCGTGT